ATATTACAAATGACAATGTTTAATTATAAAGTAAAATGAATTTTTAATAACATTAAAGGCTTCTTACATACCACATTACTTTAAAATGTACATTTTTATTGGGTGTTCATAATTTTTTACTTTATTTTCATTTTACGGCGGTTTGTATGACATGTCTCTATGTCATAGAGGAATTTTGACAGAATTAATGTTTTCATACAGATAAATATTTTCACAGAATTATATTACCTTTGTTAAGTTTGGCTGCGATGTAGTACTACGAACCTGAAAATTAAAGTTTATTTAATTAAAGGCAATTTTAATAATTGAAAACTAATTCATGTGAATATTTCACATTAAAAACTCACAAGATTATAAGGCGTTTCATTGTTACTATTTTGAATTAAAAGTAATAAAACAGTCAAATAAATAAACAGACATTTGAGTGTACCTTTTGATAATTTATTCTACTCTATTACTTATTAGAGTAAGTAATAGAGTAGATTTAGATTAAGTAATAGATGTTCCTGGCAAATAGACTTACCAGATAAAACAAAAAATACTATTGTTTAAAAAAATAACAGTATTTTTCCATCCCGAATCCGGGACAGCTTTTATATCTTGAAAATTAATAACATCCCAACATGAACCCGTAGTATAAAATAATTGTTATATTTCTAGATGATCTATTTAGTCACAATTTTCTCATAAATATTTGATTATTAACGTAGAATATACATAGATATTTACTATTTATGAAACGTATACATATAATGTATACATAACGGGAATTTAGTTTGGAATAAAGGCAAATAATAGCAACTATAACACAGCCTGCAATACTTACAAAGCGCTTCAGCCAACAAGAATAGCCCAGCCGCAATCAAGACCAAAATTAAGAGACAGCAGAGCAGCTTACAGATGAGCTCGAAGCAACAGCGACAGCAGCACGCGCAGGGATTTGGTATAGGGATACAACATCCGCCTCCGCCGCCACCGATTATTATGTTACGAAAACTGACATCGATATAAATTATTCAAGAGTTTATGGTGTACAAATAATAATTAAATAATCACAATAATAAAGTATCCTATTTCTAATCGTACTGTATAGTTATTCAAATAAAATATCATGTATGTAGGTAACTGATGTACACTTATTGAACGCCAGTAAAAAAAATATTTTTTCTAAATTTACATTAAGAACTAGCAGTAGTTAAACCAACGGTCGAGAAGAACTGGCAATAAACTATGGAGGGTAAACTTTTAACTCGCCAAGGTTTAACACATAACATCATGCTCCTCATCACATGTTAAAGCACTTAATTATTGTCGAATCAATCTATTTATTAGCTTGTTTATTAATAAGATGTTTTGTAATCAACATAAAGTATTACTTACCACATAATTTACATAACTTTGGAAGAAGTTGGTCCCACTACCGGTGTTCACAGGAAAATCCATGGGAATTGATATATTTATGACTTTATAGATGTATCATCGTATCAGATATATCATATTTAATAGGAATTATTATTGTCGAAAGGGTATGTTCACAATATATTTATATGAGCGAGTATTTCCGTTGTGTATTTCTTACATATTTTGATAGAAGAGAAATGTCAATGTTTCTGTCATTCTCAGATTATGATAGTATACATCTAGACGTATTTGAAAACAGTCTTTAAAAAATTAAGTATTTAATTTTAAGGCTTTATTGGTGAACTTAATAAAATATAAAAGCTTGTAATAAAAAAGCAATTGTTAACACGTTAATAAGTTCTTGTTTACGTATAACGGGCGGTAAAAACAAGAAATAACAATTTATAATACAGTTTGTATAGAACAAAGTTTGATAGAAGAAAAAAACAAACCATTTTGAGTATAAAATAGATCATATATTTAATAAATTATAATCTTTAAAAATAAAATATCATAAAACATATTCAAAAATATTCTTATAGAATACATTAAGTTACAACAACTTGTAAAGAATAATTTCTATTTTCCGCTCTCCATTTCGATAGAAGAGAAATTAAATCCAAGTCCGACATTGGTATTACTATTTTTGAGTTCGGTACATCGGTTATATTATAATCCTTCTCTATTGCTTTAGGCTTTTCTTCTGGTGGTATTATTTCATTACCTTGCCTTATTTCACTCATAAATTCGGCAAACGATTTATTTCTTAGTAATCTAAATTCATTTAATTTATCAGTTTGAGATATTCTGGTATCATTTGAATTATAGTTCAACCTAACTGTACTATTCGTTTCTGATTCGGCTTTTATTGGGTTGGATTCATTTGATTCTTTGTCATAGTACTCGTCATCATTGCCAGCTTGCCAATCAGGTGTGGACTGATATTTGTATTCGTAACGTGCTGGAACTGGAAATAGTATAATACAAAGTCATTCTTCTTTCATTTATAATCAGTCAGTCTCCTAGTACCGTTCAATAATGATGATTTGATAGAATGATATCTTTATCATCCGTGATGCTAGTGATTTATGAAATAGTATTCAATTAAAAAACCTGATGTCTTTTACACAATTTGTTTTCATATAGATAATAAGATTTATTTAAGCTTCTAATAAGTCTAAGGCTGCTGCCTCGAATTTTGCGGGCAGCGGGGCGGCGGCGGCTGCGGCGCGGGAGCGGGCGATTTCACCTCTCTTTACCCGCCCTCGCGCCGCTGCACAGGAACGACCGCTGTGGATTAGCATTTGAGAACCGGTCCATTTGATTTTATGCATAAGATCTTGCCTTTGCTCCTAGCACCGGCACCGGTGCCGAAAATTTAAAAAAAAATATTTTTTTTGAGTTATTTTTTTTTAAAATTATTTTTTTGTGAAAAAAAAAAAAAAAAAAAAAAAGGCGGCGTTGTTGAGAACCGCACCTATTTTTTTTTTATTAGATCCTGCCGCTCCCGCACCGGCACCGGTGCCGCCCCGCTGCCCGCAAAATTCGAGGCAGCAGCCTTAATCTTTTTCCGGGATTGCATTATAGAACAAAGCATACCACTACATCTAAGCCAAAAAGACGATTACCGAACGGTATTCATGTTGATGAAAATAACTAAAATTACAGTCGCTAAAATATGTATGTTGAACCCTTTGTACGTGTTATAGAAATTTTGCAGCTTGCAGCAGGTAAATGTCTAGGAATTCTTAAACATACCATATCTGTGTTTGCTTTTGAAATCGATGAAGCAATAATTGTATCCCAGACCGATACCAAGTAATAACGTCATTGCTATGGTAAAAACTAAACAGGTCACAAGACTTGAGCAAGTGATGCAGACGAATATACTGAAAAATATATGAATTAAATCACTTGATGTAATAAAATACCTTTAAACATATATTAAAGAGACACATATATATATCACTTAGTACGTGTTAACAGATTTCCTGCTAAATAGTAGGAAAGGCTGTCGAAGAAAACTCTTCAAAAGATAATGCTGGGCAGAAAGAGGTTGATGCCAGAGAAAGCGCTCTAAAGTGCTGCACGTAATATCAAGGTGTCTTCGAGAACTGTTAACTATAATCTCAATAGATAAAATATGAGTAAGAGTTTATATTGTTATACAGCTGCTTTTTAAGTCTATCGATGTTTATAGTATATTAAGCGAAAAATTGTAAGCGAAAGGAAGAAGTGGGCAAAAATTATGACTGTGTACGCAACTTAGGCCTTGCCACTAACGTGTAAGGTACCTGAAAGTAAGTTCTTGCTATTCGATACACACTTAGTAGACGTATTTATATATTATATACATTAATTTATTTCTGATCACTATTAAAAAATAAATAAATAATAAGTTTTAAGGTTTTATATGGTAATAAAGTTAAACTTACTTCTCAGAAAAGTGCAGTAAATGTGAAATGATTGAACCCATTTCATTGATATGTCCACTTTATTTTATGTATAGCTTTATCAAGTTGATTTAAAATTCAATGACAAAGTACGTCAGTGTATTGACTAGCGAAATTGACATCTTACACTCATTTCATAGGCCTTACGCATAGAATATATTAAAAAAAGGCGTCTATTGGAATTTGTACTAGACAAGAATCTTGAAATATACATATATAAATGAAATACTTTGATGTCCCTTCCATCGTTATTTTTCTCTTTCATATGAACTTAAATTGATGTTTACATAAAATTGCAACGATAAATATAAATACCAAATAGCATATACATCAATATACAAAATAGATGTTTAATGTACCTAAAAATACTTTTAAAAAATTTAAAAAACTGTGGTATGTTTTATTAATGATGGCTTCGTTATTCTTCCTTTTTATTAAATATATGTAATAATGATCAATGCATCTTGGAATTTATTATAAGTAAACATGTGTTATTATTTTATTTTTGCATAAATAGGTAGAAATTGTTAACTGTGCCTTATGTATGTTTAAATGTGTATTCCTTTTTTGGCTTTTGTGTTTAATGTAATTGTTTTTATATTGTTTAATTGTAGGAATACTGATGAGCAAATAAATAAAATAAACCTTAATTGTTTTGTATTGAGTTATTTTAGCAAGCATCCCCGTCGCCTTTTAAAAATAATTATCTTAAAATAACTATTTGTCTGAGGGAAATGTAAAAATTTAATCAACAAATTTATTAATAAAACGGCGTGTATTCCATAGAAAATTGAACAATCATTGCATTTGAATAACCACCACAATTCAATAAAATATTTGCGATATCCAACAGCTCTTTGTACTCGTATGTACATGAATAATTATACGTCAACCCGATATCAGTTTGATAATTCAAACGCATACATTGCATATTTCACTACACAAATGCTAATCGAATAGTGTTCGTGTATTTATTTACAAAATTTTACCATGCATTTCATACAAAAAATTGCTAATTATTTTATTAAGTAAAAGGATTAGTTGTAGTTCGTACGAGCTCAGTTTTTAATCTTATATCGTCATTATTATTACTGACTGATACTCTTGCTTGTGTATCTTTGACCTTCCCATTATTTCCAATATCTCCTATACAATTAATTGAAGAGTTACATTCTTTCGTGAACTTCTTATTTTATTCAAAAGTTGTGTAAAATCAATGCCCTCATTCAAGGGTACGGATATCTTCACGTTTTTCTTAATAGGTAGGTCGAAGGGCTGGAACGACTTCCTGGATCCTTTGCTCGATCTGTCGTCAGTCTCTGTATCATTTACAGGTATTACCATGAGGTCCTCAAAGGAATCAAATGCCTCTGAAAATAAGTATATTTGCAAATAGCCATCAATCGGGGTATGGAGTTGGCATATCTGAGTCGGTTTCATGGATATTTCTAAAGGCAATTGAGTCCTGCTGTATCTTTATCTAAAATAATAATAGTTTCGCCGGGAACCGACGCTGAATATCCTGTTCTACGACGCATCTTCAGGCCACAATCATTTTTTTTAAACTGTTGTAAATCATTAGAAAGTAAAGTGAGACATAATAACACTGGAACTACAGCCTTTTAGGTCTGGGCCTCAGATTATTGTATCTGTTTTGTGATATTCTAGACAAAGAAGTCTGAAGCTTTCTTGCCTGATACAAGCCGTCCACTTTTTGGGTTTCCTCACGATGCACCTGTCAGTTTCCTCACGATGTTTTTCTTCAACGTATGAGCTAGTGGTAATTGCGCACATAAGTAAGTAAACTGGTACACAGCCATGGTTCGAACGTATAACCTCAAATGGTCATCCATTTGAGGTTATACGTTCGCACGCTGAAGCTACTAGGCCATATCTGCTGTTTTTTTAACTATAAATGCTAGGATGAAAATAGTAAGCACAAAGCGTAAAACGACTATGTATAGCACAAATTCAATACAAAATAATAGCCATCTTAGCCTCCGTCGGCCTTATTACTGCGTGTTAAGACACATTTTCAAATATATGTGCAGCTTAGAAGCTTTTGGTAGCCTACAGATTATATACCAGCGCTGGCTCGCTGCCCAGAAGTGAAGTCAACGTAACAATAGTTGTAGCCAAGTCCGACGCCAACTCCCAGCATAAAAATCAATGTGGTGACGATACAAGACACAACAGCAGTCATAGCACAGCATGATGCTAACCTGTAACAAAAATACAAACTAATCTGCAGCTGTGTTTCATCATCGGACGTCAAGGCAGAATACAAAATATCATTCGTATCACCTCGACGTCCGTCATTCCACAACTGAGCGTTTCTTAGGGCAGTTTTTGCCGCGCACACCCACTTAGTGGAACCAGCTACCCTTGAAGTATTTCCGAACCACTTCGACTTAGGGTTCTTCAACAGAAGAGGGTACCAATTCTTTAAAGACCGGCAACACACTCGCGAGCCCTGTGACATTGAGTGCCCATGCCACTAACCTGCTAATTGAAACTCGTGATGTAAAGTAACGAAGAATCTTGCCGGGGTCAAATTTCAAATTGGCTCGAGCAAAAATGTATGATATATTAAAAGCCAATTTAAAAGCAACAGCAATTTTGACTCCGTCGTTGTCTGGAGAGTGGAAGAAGCTTGGTACTTCTCAATTAAATGCCAAACTTGGATGTGTCATAAATTTCCTCTAAACATATGAATTCTATTTAGGTTGTATAAGCCAAGTGGTCTATGGAATTTTACCACTCGTTGCCTTATTAACAAAGAAACTTGACCTGACTGACATCATGTTTTAAAATAAGGCACTCACTTACCGTATAACATATTACTAAGTAGGAAAAATTTCGTTAAGGAAAATATTCCAATAATGATGATCTGCCTGCAGAAGCTTGCCTGCTATAAAAAGATAGTAACTATTCATGCCCACAGCCGTTTTGACTTTCAATGTGTGTGTCTAGAATGCATATGGGCGACGTCTCAAAATACGAAACGGGTTTGATAGCACAAACTCAATAAAATAAACATCTTTAAAAATATATGTTTACCTTTCAAATATATAAGATAAATTTCCTAGACAGTTTAAGATTCCAGAACATCGGCAGGATATACACATTATATATAATAAAAAATATATAAAAATTGTATAAAATAAATGGCAAATAAAAAAAATATTATCAATAGATAAAAACAAAGAGTAATAAAACAAAAGAGTTTTAAACTACAATTCTCTAATAATCTATGTAGGGGGTCAAAAAGTTTTGTCTGTATAGTATTATTAGATTACTTCATGATCTTTGGAAAATCGGATCGTGCCCGCGGCTGTTCGGTGCTTTGTTGTTCCTTAATAAAATAAAATAATAGCCCCGTCTACATCAGTAATATTATTAATTACAATATTCATGGGCGAACCAGGGCCCAATTGCTTGAGAGGCCCGTTATTTTCATTCTTGTTTGGCGCCTTTACCGAGGCCCCAGGTCGTGTATGGACGATGTGAATACAGGGCAATGAATAAGCACATGTTCTACGGTTTGTTCGCCTTTATTGCGGGCATATCTTGGACTTTCTTAATCGTTACCTGTACGGTGTACCTTAAATCAAAACTGTACACAGGTATATATTTATTGTCTATAAGTTATATGTTTTTATTTTCGGTGTCTATCGAATTAAGGTAAGCTAGACGGAATTATTTTTTGTAAAAAAACCAACTATTAATAGTTGATAAAGTAATCACTTCATATTAAACAGCAGAATATCGAGATGGATGATTATTTAATCTATCTAACGTCTAAGATCTACCCCTATTCTATACTCTATGGTCTGCCTATATATCATGACCATGTCACGACGTCAAAGTAATTTTTTGAATTATTAACAATTTATTTCTTGTTACATAAATTATTTTACTATGTCGAATTACTTTCGTATTTCTGACACGGATCCGCCCGAATTTTTAAAAAAGTAAATATATTAGTCATAGTAAAACAATGTAACAGGCTTTGCGATCTTTTGCTTTGTTTAGTTTTGGAAACGAACACCGACCACACCACATCATACACAACGCAATCGCAAGCTACCCCAAAAACGCACTTTCTTCGCCCAACGCTTTTTCTCCTTCAGAGGATTTCATCCATTTTTATCCACTTTCTTAAAATTTTCGAACGATTCAAAACTTTATACATTCAAGAACACTCTAACAATCTTCTCACCCTGTCCTATGATGAAACGGAAAGTAGTCTTATTGTGCAACAGTAGTTTAATTTAGTATTTTTGTTATGTAGAAATTATTTTGTCAAGTACCGTTAATATGTCCAATGGAAGAGACTGGCTACCCACGACACTTGGAATCCTAGGGTGTCGGCTAGTTCACTTTCTTTTTTAACGAAATATAGTTTTTTTAATTATGTATAAAATAATAAATTTTCCTTTTTTCCATACTATCATCGTCACTTAAGAGACCGCTTAGGGCGATAAGGGCTTTTAATTTTGAGTTGATTGTACCCCAAAATTAAAAGCCCTTATCTTCTAGTGATCTTTTAGGAAACCAAAATGGCTGATATGCCTGATCTGCACGGTCACCATCATAGTAATGATAGTGTCAGCAATCTCTGTTGGAGTCTTCATTGGCTATGCTTACTGCTATGTGGAACATCAGACCGGATTAACAGGTAAAGTGTATTACCGCCTAACATTTCTCTCATGTATCTTTTGTTTTGCCATTTAATATTCAGAAGTTGTTAGTAGATTTATTAAAGCCTACAACCCAAATAGACCCTTGTCTATTCTTAGATAACTTCGTTGTTCTAATGAAAATCTTAATTTCAACTGAAAATGTATTATTTATTTATACACTGTAAAACGCCCACGCGGGCCCTTTGACTACCCACAGTATTTCATAATTAATAGAGCCAAGGAGTAGTTGGACATAAATTTGTTATGAATTCATAAGATTATGTACTCCTTACTTACTCCTTGTTAATATAATCTACACTGTTAACGTTGGGGCTTTTTAGGTTAGACCATTAAAGACATGAGCAGATTCAGGGGATTATGGGAGTCATGACCCCCTCGTAGAATCTCGCTGTACCACAAATTTTTAATTTATATTGTTACTTAATACTTTTATAACACAAGCATTAGAAGCATCTGTGAATAGTATAAAAGAGAGCATGTCTTTATGGCTTATTTATATAAATGACTGTTTCCAAAGGCGTAGACAAAAACTATTTGAATATTTGTTCAGAGAAATAATTGCTGAAATATTCGGTGCAGGCGTTTCGTATTTTAATAATACAAATTGTCCGGTCGAAACAATACAATTTTGACATGAAAATGACATGTTTGTCTACATCTAAACAATGGTTTTACATATATGAATTACAATCAAAATATTATTCTTTAAAATTAATAGCTGACGTTTCAAAACGGGTTTCGTCGGAATATTTCTTTCATTTAAACGGGTTTTCTAAAGTTTATTGTAACATATTGTTGACCTTGAATTTTATCGACGCTGACCGGATCTTATAAGTCTAACTGGAGAAATTTTTTTCATACTGATTTACTATGTTTAACCGTCATAGTTCCAAAGCTATATTAACAACAGTTCTTGCCGACAATATAATTAAACGTTAATTGAAACAATTAGCTTGCTTAAGTCAGAATTTGATGGTTATTAAAAGTTCAAAGATAACCGAATTCAATTTGGTTTCATATTTCAAAGTTCGTCATGGATCATTTTACAACAGGCAGAGTCGTACTAACCTTGTGTGCGCTTTTCAACTTTTTCTTCCACGAACATGGATTTTTCTATATGACTAATGCATGATCATCAACAAATTGTATGCAGGAATTTCATATAAACATTTTGTAACAACTTAGCCCAAAAAGCATTATTGTCAATTTTAAATGATATACGAAATACTATTTATTTAACTTATATCACACAAATATAGAGTACCTATTTACAATATTGTTAACCTATATAGTAATAATAATAACAATAATTAAAAATGAATAAATAGAAAACTAAAACATATTTAAAAAGTTTGGTCCCTGTGGTAGCCTATCTTTAATGCTGGCAGTATATCCTCGCTGTATTGCGATACTTATTTGTTGACCACCAGGTCTGGGGTCACCAGTAGGTACTATCTACCAGTCTTAAATCTTATTTTTTATTGGTTACTTAGATTTACGTTGTGTAAACATGCAAAGTTTGCGTAATGTTTCAAGTTTGATATGATTTTTACTTGAAAATATTTTATCTTCTATGTAATAAACGATTGCACAAACGCTAAGATATGAAGCCATACTACTCTTGTAGCGTGAAAGTCAAAACCTAAAATTGTATATAGTAAATTCTTTAAATAAAACCTTATTGACTTTACTTGACGTTCCGAGAGTTAAGCACATAGGTCATTTTTGATAGTTTAATCGCATCGATATTTTTTGTAACTATGTATTTATAAAGTTTATTTTGTGTATGTATGACAAACTTTCATTAAAAAGCTTTTTTGAAATTTTAATTTATTTCAGAGAACATTACACAGCCGAACGAAATTGAAATAATACAGAACTTACGAAAGGATCCAGAAGCTTCAAAAAGAACAATAAACGATGCAATCAAAAGCTTTCTATCTTCGAGGATAAAAAAAATTAGCAATTTCCTATGGAGTGATGGCAATAAGCCGATCAAGATTAAACTTTGATCTTTGTTCAAGAACAATAAACAATTTCAAAATATTGTTTTCGTATTTATAACTAGCGATAACCTGGCGTATATGATACCCAAGTTATACCCGATTTTTCCTGAATGTTTTCAGGTGCCGTTTTCCTTGAGATATTCTCCTTTGCCGTTCAAGTACCTACAAAAGTCAGTTGACAGGTTTTGAGCTCACGATTTCAGAATTTACAGCTTAACTAATGGTCTAACACAGCTATTACCATTTATTTAAACAAGCTATTCTATAAAATACTAGCTGATCCGGCAAACGTCGTTTTGCCATGTTTATCATTTATAATAAAAATAGGGGTTGATCGTAGAGGGGTGAAAAATTAGGGGTTGTATGTATTTTTTAATGCTGTATCATAAAAAAATAAAAACAAAAGAAAAATATCTAAAAATTAAAACAAAATAATTTAGGGGTGGACTACCCTACAACATTACATTACAACATTTAGGGGGATGAAAAATAGATGTTGTCCGATTCTCAGACATACCCAATATGCACACAAAATTTCATGAGAATCGGTCACGCCGTTTCGGAGGAGTTTAACTACAAACACCACGACACGAGAATTTTATATATTAGATTTATAAGATTATTTTGTAATGGCAATAGTAATCTTGCAAAAGCAGTCAAACTTTCAAACTCAAACTCAAAATATCTTTATACATATAGGTAAACAACTACACGTCTTATGAACGTCAAAAAAGAAGTTAAATTAATTGTAAATTTACATTTACTAACAGTTTGCAAGTCAAGGGCGTAGAGCGGGCAAGTGTTGGCCAGTGGCCTAGTGGCATCAGCGTGCGCCTCTCATCACTGAGGTCGTCCGTTCTATCCCCGGCATTGTGTGTGAACATCTAACACTCGCTCGTACGGCGAATAATGACATCGTGGCTGATCATCTACTTTTCAATGAAATAAATATCAAAGCGACGCATGCAACCTTAGGCCGAAGTCCATAAAGGGACGTAGCGCCACTGGTACCACTATAACAATAATTATTAACTTTGACAATCAAATCGACTTCAAGCATTCATTAGCTACATAATATATGTCAGAGCAATGACGTTACTGTCAGCTGCCATTGCCATGTCACAGGGATTATAATTTTATAACATCAAATCAAATTAGTTCAAAACCCTTAATACTAGGGGTTTATTTGATTTGCAAATGTTGCTAGATCGAGGTTTTGTGATACCTGATTGGTCTATCGTGTTGGGCTGCATCGTCTTTCCCTCCATTTTTCCGGCTATTATAAGTTTTTTGAGTTGTTTAAGCAAGTGCTTGCTTGTTAAGTGAATTGCTTAAATTCAATTCAACTATAATCAGCTCTTAGTAACAGCAGTGCTACACGATAAATACTATTTAAAATAATTTCATTCTCATTAA